ATTTTTTCCCATCCAAGTTCACGGACTCCCCCACCTAAGTAGTTTACTGAGCTGGGGGTAGAGGGAAATCCCTTCACAGAAACATACTCTGAATTCAAAATGAACTGACATGGAAAACTGTGGATACCAGCTTTAAAACCTTTGTATCAGCCCCTTTGGGTCTTTCCTGAACTTGCATGGTAGGTAAAGTCAGAATAGACATGTTAAGAACTATGCTAGGGCCCTGCCAAGCGTGGCTCAGCGGTTGAGCATCAACCTGGGATCCAGGCAATAGGGGTTCGATTCCCGGTCATGGCACATGCCCAAGTTGCGGGCTCAATCAATGACTCTCTCATCATTGATGTTTCTATCTCTCTCTCTCCTTTTCCTTTCCTCTCTCTGAAATCAATAAAGATATATTTTTAAAAAAAACAAGAACTATGCTAGGAAAATGTCATTAATAACACCTTTTATGGAGCATGTCCCGGGTGCCAGGCAATGTGCTAGGGACTCAAATGCACTGTCGTGAATCCGCAAATAACTTTGCAGGGATAGGCCCATGAGCTCTATTTTCTGATGAGAATATGAGCATGAAGAAGCCCAATATTTTGGCTAATGTTGCAGGTAGGCTGATAGCAAATGATTTCCAACCAGTTTTCATACTGCTTCACAAAGTTACCTGGGGAGTGTGGTAGAACTACAGATGCCAGGCTTTCCCACAGAGATTCTCTCTCAGCCTGGGATGATATCCTAGAGCTGATGTTTTTTCGGTGGCCCCTGGGGTGATTCTGACGCAGGCTGCTCGCAGAGTGCACCTTGACACTGACATAAAGCTGTGCCTCTCTGGCTGTGGGAAGTGTTTGTGCCCAATGCCAGCCTGGAAGACCCTCCAGGAAAACAGCGCAGAGCATGCACACAGCTCCCGCCTCCACCAGGTGCTGCAGGACATTCCCAGCCCCCTCCCCCCCATTCCTCCACCTTTCTCGCTGCCTCCCATGCCCACGTGGCTCTGCCACGTCTTCGTTCATGGAAAGATTGGGCAGTTGGTGAGATGCCGGCGGTCAGAGTTTAGAGGGCTTTCTCAGACTGGACGACGAAGTCTCCCCTGCCCCCTGAGAAAGCTTCCCGGGAGCTTTTCCCCCAGCATAGGGGAACCCTGCAAAGAACTGTGCTCAGAATTTAAATGAAACGCAGGCTCCCCCAACAGAAATCTGTATATGGCTCCGCTGGCCAGACTTTTCCAGGCTGGCAGACCAGCAACCAGACCCAACAGACTTTTGTGTCCAGAGGCATTTGTGTTTAAAACTCCAGTAAAAATGAAAAATGATGGTTAAAGGGGTTTTTTTGTTTTCTCTCATCTCTGAGCTTGGGGAGCAACACGGAGATGACCCTCTGCCTCAGCTTGCTCCTGGTGCAGTAGCAGCTGTGAAATGCAAGACAATGACTCTGGCCATGAAAGGAGCCCAGGGCTGAGGCCCAGGGCTGAGTCCGTCCCTTTGCACTCCTGGCCTTCCTGCCCCCCGGCCCAAACAGCAGGCTCTTTTTTATTTTGTTTAGTTGATAATGAAGATAAAGAGAAATAAAGTGAGGTGCAAAGAAACTAGGCTGAGCTTGAGACTTCATCTTAGGACAGCTAGCTAGAAAGAGATGATGTGATTAACGACGATAGTCATAGTAATGTGGCTTTTTATGCATAACGCATATCACAGGTGGAAAAACCAGCCTCAAGTTTGAGAATTAAGAAATATGGATCCTAGAAAGATTTAATTAGTCAGCTTAGACACAGGGATGTGGCCACATGACAACCTTCTGAAAAGAGCCAGGACACTGTGTTCTTTTTATTTATTTTATTTTTTATTATTTTTAAAAAATATTTTTATTGATTTCAGAGAGAGGAAGGGAGAGGGAGAGAGAGAGAGAAACATCAATGATGAGAGAGTCATTGATCGGCTGCCTCCTGCACGCCCCCAACTGGGGATCAAGCCCACCACTGTGTTCTTTCTAGAACGTCCTTTTATGTGTGTTGTTTTCTTGTCAATCCTCTCACAATAGGCTCTGAGATGTCAAGTTTACTACCGTATACCCAACACAGCCTGCACTCAGAGGTGCTCAAAAACTCTTGAATAAATGAGTGAATGNGCTCTGAGATGTCAAGTTTACTACCATATACCCAACAGCCTGCACTCAGAGGTGCTCAAAAACTCTTGAATAAATGAGTGAATGACAATACCAAAATAATAGAGTCCTAAAGTAAATTTTAAAAACACACAAATTTACTGTTGTGAAAGTAAATTAAGTAAATATGACGTTTTCAGATGTATGACTCAAAGTTTTAAAAGTTTTTCTGATGGGGTTACAGAAAACAAGTTTAACTTATTGATACAGCTAAGTGTCCATTTCTCCCCAAATCTTTGGATGGTTCCAATAAATAATGAAGTTTGGGTGTGTGGGGGGAGGAATACATGAGATGCTAAAAAGGAGAGGCCTTGTCAAGTCTGGGGCAGGGAGGGAAGATGATGACAGATGATAGCAGAATGGAGTAA